GCAAAGTGGCAGCATCAATGGGCTCAAGTGTGGCAACAATTTTGAGGTTGGCCCAGGATCAGGCAGTGTTTTGTTCTGTTGTTCATAGGGTCACTGTGAGTTGGTACCAACTTGATGGCACCTGACGACAACAACAAAAGTATTGTAACCATGAATGTGTTCCTGGGATTCGTTTTACATTTAAGTGTGTTTAGCATGGTTCCAGGAGCAGTGGTAGCACAGTGGTTAAATCTCTCAGCTGAAAACTGAGAGGCCAGTTAGTTCAAACTCATTTGCTACTCTGTGGAAAAAAGATGTGGCAAGCTGCTCCTCTAAATATTAACATTGTTGGAAACCCTATGAGACACTTTACTCTTTCCTGCTCTTGTGCTGTGAAGCACTGTTGAGTTGGTGCTGACCCTTAGCGACCATGTATAGGGTTTCTGAGGAGCAGTTGGTAAGCTTGAACCGTCAACCTTGCAGTTCAGACTGACCTTGCAGTCAGAGCATTAACCCACAGCACCACACAGGACTCTTACAGGGCTGCTGTTGAGTTGGTACCGATTCTAGGGCAGTGGGTTTTCATGTGGTTCCAGTTCCTGTGATGGTGTTTGAGATGTCTGAACCATGTTGTTTTCAGAAGGTTGGTCCAGTTTCTGTGTAGGAGGAGGACTTTCTCAATGGTTGCAGTAGGAGATTGAGGCGGACTGCCTCATCTTTCTCCTGCAGAGTGGCTGGTGGGTTCAAAGTGCTCACCTTTTGCTTAGCAACAGTTAACCCACTGTGCCACCAGGGCTCTAATGGCTTCTCAATAAAAGCAATGAAAAAACAAGTTCGAAAAGACAGTGACATCATGGGAGAGTCTAGCATCTTGTTCAAAGAATCAACTGTGTCTTCTGAGACTATGAGACTTCTGAGGTATGCCTGCCTCAGTTAGAAAAGGAAGGGCTTTACTAAGCCTAAAAGTAATTAAATTAATCTGTGCTTCAGAAAACAGATTGAATGAGTGGATATAAAGAAAATAAGTACTAGTGATTTTGTACCAAGAAAACCTTTTGTTGTTGTTGTTAAGTGCTGTCAAGTTTGTGGTTGTTATGGGTCAGAACTGACTGACTGCACAACACACTACCAACCAAAGATGATCAGAGTCCTGGTGTGCTGCTGCAGGGTAATGCACTGAACCGACAGGTCGGTTTGAACTGCTAAGTTGGTGATTCAAATTTACCAGCAGCTCCTTTTAGACTGTATCCTGGGGTCATCGTTAGTCAGAACTGACTCAACAGTACCAACCTGTGGGTGGCCAGCCAGCCAGAGAAGATGGAAAGCAATAGGCACAGAAAATAATAAGCCTATAGGACAGGATTTAATTGTGTGAGCCTGACTTTATGTAAATTGTTGAAGAACTGAACAAGGACTTTAGAAGGTAGCTCATATGATAATGACTTTTATGATGGTTGGTGGTTGTGTGCCGTGGAGTTGACTCATAGCAACCCTGTATAGGATTTCCGGGGCTGTAAATCTTTACAGAAGCAGAAAACCTTATCTTTTTACTGAAGAGCAGCTGATAGATTTGAACTGCTGACCTTGCAGATAGCAACCCAGCCCCCTATGTTACCAAAGCTCTTTTTACAGAGTAATATATAAATTAGATGGGTAAACACTGAAATCTGCAGCACAAGACCTTTTTAAAGTGTTGAAGAGCAAAGATGTCAGCTTGAGGACTAAGGTGCGCCTGACCCAAGCCATGATATTTTCAATAACCTCATATGCATGCAAAAGCTGGACAGTGAATAAGGAAGACCATAGAAGAATTGATGCTTTTGAGTTATGGTATTGGAGGAGACTACTGAAAGTGCCATCGGCTGCCAAAAGAACCAATAGGTCTGTTTTGCAAGAAGTACAGCCAGAGTGCTCCTTGGAGGTCAAGATGGTCAAACTTTGTCTCTCGTACTTTGGACATATTGTCAGGACGGACCAATCATTGGAGAAGGATATCATGTTTGGTAAGGCGGAAGGTCAGAGAAAAAGAGGAAGATCCCCAACGAGATGGATTGGCCAAGTGGCAGCATCGATGGACTCAAGCGTGGCAACAGTAGTGAGGTTGGCCCAGGATTGGGCATTGTTTCATTCTGCTGTGCATAGTAAGGTTGCTATGGGTCGGTACCAACTTGATGGTGCCTAACAACAACAACAAACATTGAAATATTTTCATTTCAAATTATAAGACATTTCTGTTCAAATCACTTTTAAATCATCGTAGTCTGATACTGTTCAAGATTTATTGATATTCATGGTTTGTAACTTTCTTTAGTTCTGCCTTGCTTCTGCGAGTGGTTACTTTCAAATGATAAAATGACAAGATCTCAGATAGGTTCTTTAATCATTTTTGCCCCGGCCATAGTGTCCGGAGTCCTGGTGTGGCACTGTGGGTTAATGTGCTTGACTGTAAAGTCGGTTTGAACTGTAATGTCGGTGGTTCAAGCTCATCAGCAGCTCCGTGGAAACCCTATACAGGGTTGATATGGGTCAGAACCGACTCAGTGGTGCTTAACAACAACAGCAACAACTGTAGTTTTAGAACACTTGGTTGTATTCATGAGGAACTTGTCCATAGACCAACAGGCAGTCATTCTGACAGAATCAGGAAAGGTGTGCAACAGGGTTGTATTTTTTTCACCATACTTATTCAATCTTAAAATGAGCAAATAATCCAAAAAACTGGCTTAAATGAAGAATATGGCATCAGGATTAGAGGAAGACTCATGAACAACGTGTGCTATGCAGGTGAAACAACCTTGCTTGCTGAAGTTGAAGAGGACTTAAAATACTGATAAAGATAAAAAATACAGCCTTCAGTATGGATTACATTATTCAATATAAAGAAAAGAAAAATCCTCACAACTGGACCAATAAACGACACCATGATAAATGGAGACAAGATTGAAGTTGTCAAAGACTTCATTTTGATTTTTTTTTTTCATTTTGTTTTGGTACACAGTCAACACTCATGCAAGCAGCAGCTAAGGAAATAAAGTCTTTAAAGTGTTCAAGAGCAAAGATGTCAGTTTGAGAACTAAGGTGTCCTTGATCGAAGCCATTTCAATAGTTCATATGCATGTGAAAGTTGGACAGTAAATAAGGAAGACTGTAGAAGAATTGATACATTTGAGATACGGTCTTGGCGAAGAAGGGACTGCCAGAACAAAAAATCTGAGTTGGAAGAAGTACAGCCAGAATGTTCCTTAGAGGCCAGGATGGTGAGACTTCCTCTTTCATACTTAGGACATGTTATCAGGAAGGACCAGACCCTGGAGGATATCATGCTGGGTAAAGTGGAGGGTAAGCCCCCAGCGAGATGGATTTGCACAGTAGCAGCAGAAGTGGGCTCAAGTGTAGCAACAATTGTGAGGTCGGCATAGTACCGGCAGTGTTTTGTTGTGTTGTGCACGAGGTCTCTATGTCTTAACCAGCTTGATGGCACCTAGCACCAACATAGCTCCTTAGTTGACTTAATAGAACAGCAGTCTCTTGTCCCATGTGTCCCATGGTGAACGGAGCTTGGTGAAACTGAAAGAGGCTCATGTGTTGCAATGCAGTGATGGGGACTGCTTG